GAAATAATATTTATTTTTAATTAATAATATTAAATAAATTATATTCATCATTTATTTTTTTATGTACCATAAATATCAATTAATTTATTTATTATTTATAATAAATGATTTAATTTAAACTCAATAATTTATAAATGTAAAATAATAATATGAATTTAATATATAAATATATAACAACAATTAATAACATAAATTAATTTATTTAAAACTTATTAATTGATATGTAAGTTAAATTTTTGTTAAATTTGAATTAAATTTAAAGATTGAATATGTTTAAATTTTAAATTAAATAAAATATTAATAATGTGTGAGTTCAATTTATTTTTAATAAAAAAATTATATTATTATATGGTTTTTATATCATTTAAATTTTATTTATTACATCATTCGGTTTGACCCAATTCGACCTGTTGAACTGTGAACCGCTCATTCTACCGGTTTATTGTCCGGTCCAGTTTTCAAGGTCGAAAGTACGCTTCCCTTCAAAAGAATAAATTGAAAGATTTCTTCAATACATCTCCTACTCAAATATATTAGTCCAAAGGACAAAGTTTGTAAGCATGACTATAGACCACTGAATAGGCTGAATCATGTAAATAAAAATTCTTTCAATTTCACTCTATAGTTTAAATTTACAATTGTTATATATTTACATTTTTTATCATATTCATGTGATGATATATCCAATTAATGTTTCATTTGGAACCATTTTTTTACTATTTTCTAAAACAAATTTTTAGCACAAATTTTTTGGACTAAAAATATTTTTACTAAAAAATTACTTTAAAAAACAGCAAAAAATCATCCCAAACAAAAACTAAATCATTTTTATATTAAAGTAATTGAGTAACCTTTAAGAACTCAATTAATTTCTCTTAGGCATAAATTTACTTGCATCACTTTATACTTATATTGTGTGACACTTAGGTTGATACCTAATAAAATTATTAATACAAGTTAGTATAGTGTAATTTTTTGCTTATAATTACACTTATATTTTAAATCACTCATTAATAGCATAATCAACCATTCAACATCATTAAAATAATGTTGTTAAATTCATAAGATCAACTTAATTGATCACAAATATTTTTAATTATAATTAACTACATCAATTATATTGTACTTAATTTGACTCACTCATCTTATAATATGACATATTTTATACACTTATATATACAATAAATTATTTATTTAATTATTGTATCAGCGATTGCTTTCACTGTAAATATTTATTATTACAAATTCAATATTTCATTTTAAACCTTCATGATTCACCTTCATTAACTATTTAGTCTTATTTCAAGTTATAAATATTCCATTTCTATTAAGGAAAAGATTCTACTGACTTTTTTCTACATAGAAAAAAAAATTCAATAATTAGGCCTTGAGAAATTGATCTGATGTAACACTTAACATAAATTTCTATTTATTTTATTTCATGGTAAAGTGTTTTTAAAGATAACCATCATCAACGGCCACCACCATCATCAACTGCTGTCACCACCGCCACCGCCACCAACAATGATGATGGCGGCGGCCGTCGTCACCAGCCAATGACCACCGTTCTCCCTATTTAAACTAATTTCTTTGATATTAGATAAACAAATTAATATATTTTAAAGCATCAAATGTATTTTATTTCTTGATAAAATATAAATAAATAATATAACTGATCCCAAATGCCTACAAATATCAGGAGACAACTTGATTCAGATTTCCACTGCATTGATAGATGTTCTTCTAAAATTTTTCCATAGTTTTTTGAATTTCGTTTGCAAATAAATACATCACATGCAATTCAAACACAAAGCCTGTTTGAAAGCTTACCGCAGCATGGAATCACTGTGTACTAATTAACACTAACTCCCTGTAGTTCAGCCTGAGCTACTGCAGCACTGACTGCATCAACAACCTGCATCTCCCCCCTAGCAACAGCTTCATCCATTGGGGTGCGCTCATAGCTATTAAGCATAACAATAAAGGGAATAAAAATGGGAAAAAGAGAAACTAGGTAATGTCATCCAAAGGAGAAATTATTACGTGCGGTCATCGGATGTCATTTAGAGGCGAATCAGGATGCGCCACATCACCATTTGTTATGTACCGATTCCGTGTACCGGGGTGACATGACGCATCTTGATTCGCCTTTGGACCGTTCGGTGACCGCATGTAGTAATTTCTGGATCTAAAGTGGAGATCTCAAAAAGTTCAAAATATGATGGTGAGAAATTATAAACATACCTATTTAGCAAACTTACAGTAGCTCCAGCCAGAATCAAAGCCTTTACCACCTGAACATTAGGTGTTCCTTCAGAATAATTTCATAAAGCTTTTATGATGCTCAATCTGCAGAAGAAAGGGTATCACCTCTTTTTTCCCGTTGAGACAAGCCCAATGAAGAGGAGTATTCTTCTCATTGTTTGAAGCATTTACATCCTGCATTGAACGTGAAACTGAAGCAAAGTTAGAATAAACCATTATTTGGGTGAGGATGACTCAATATAGATTGCCCGACTTTACTTCCAATTCATTGGAATGCATAAACAAGCCTTCACTAAGGCTTCGATTGCAACGGCTTTCTTACTCCTTAAAGTAGCATTCTGTTACAGAACAATTAAGTTTTTACTAAAAAATTCTTTAAGAAGCAATAAGAAAGTCATCCTACATGAAGCCTAAATCATCATCATTGTCATTAACCTTATCCCAACTATTTATGATTGGTATTATGAATCCTAATTTTTCTTTTTTGTTTTTTCTGGTGGGCATTGTCAAAGGAGTCGAATATATTCTTCTCAAATCATTTTAAATAGCGCATATCTTTAGAATCTTAGAGCTAATTATTTTCTTTCCTAATCTGCTTACACTAATTTTATTAACTCGTCTACTAAGTGTATCAATTATGTTGCATTTTCTCAAATCATTACAAATGTTCCAAAAACTACAATCTATTTTTAAACACATTTTCATAAGATATAATCATTACTTAATTTAATTTTTTTCATATATATTCATTTTAATATTCTTATTTTTTTTCTTCAAACTCAACTTACATATCAATGCCTTTTTTACAGACGAAATTTGGATTCATACAATATTGACAGCCAAATTGCAATTTTAAAAAATGTATCTTTAAGCATAAATAATATCCTCTTATCATATAAAACTGCCAATGCACTTATATTTTAATCATTTAGCCTTACCTATAGAAGTCATATGCTCAGTTATACTTTTATTTTTTTATATAATAGATCCAAAACACTTGAAACTATTATACTTAGGCATCATACCATCTTCTAATAATATTGAATCATAATTATTAACATTATGCCTACTAAAATTGCATATCAATACTAAACAAGTATTATACTAATTGCTGGAGTATTTGTTTGGTTTGAAAGAGATGACATCTTAAAATAAAAGCATATGAACTTGGTAGAACCCATGTTAAATTGGATATCATAAAAAATCACAATAATAAAATTGCTCGGGTGTGGCCTCATGTTTTGCATGGTGACATTGCCCAAAAATCAACATTAAAAGTAAAGAAAATTTTATTATTAATTGCTAAGGTCAATTGTCCATTTATTTAAAGGAAATTAGGCTTCGTTTAGGATGGCTTTCTTTCTGCTTCTTAAAGTAGCTTTTAAGTACAGATTAAAAAAAAAATTTGTACTTAAAAGCTGCTTTAAGCAGCAGTAAGAAAGCTTAATTTTTGTACTTAAAAGTTGCTTTAAGAAGCAGTAAGAAAGCCGTCCCAAATGAAACCTTAGCATGTTGATGAGTTTCAGGGTACTGAAAGATCTACTGTTTTTTATGTTGATACAAAGGATGTAGGCATATAAATTCTGTAATATTTTAGTAAGTTGGGCCTTGATAAATGCTTCAACAAAAGTAAAAAAAAAAACTTAATGAATGACATGTCATAATAAATATAAATTTCAGCAAGTGAAGAATGGGCTACCGTATTATTGCCTCCTTACCACTCCATTGCGGATAAGATACTCCACAATATCAACGTGCCCATTAGCAGCAGCCATGTGAAGTGCTGAAGAAGAGGGTAGTTGAAAAAATGCATCATAATTTGTAAAAGCTTACAGCGTAAATATATTTAACTAATAAATAAACTGCTATTCAGGACCAATCTCCATTAAAATAAACAACAAGCTGGTTTTCAGAAAATAAATGTCATCACACAAGGATCAAGAAATGTGCCTGTCCAAGGTTCGGATTGCAAATGAGGATCTTTAAATTCTCCCAGTTACATTTGAAACTAGCTACAGTATACTATGGTAACAAGAAATGTCCTACAATATGATGAAAGCATAAAATTCACAAAACTTTTTGAAAGGATTCGAAGTTTCCAACCTTAGATGACAATAATAGAGATCTAAGTCAACGTCACTCAACTAAATGGCCGATGGTCAAAGTGGTTAAAATTCACAGAATACATAGAATGGGAATACTTACAGATACATTCAAGGGAAGTTAATTTTCAACATCAAGCTTTCTAGTGGAAAATGGGATCACGAAGAGATTGGCACGACAATGCATATAGCACTAGAGCTATCATAAGTTCATATTCTGAAATTTTCTAGGATGTTCAATACTATTAATAAAGGACATTCAGTGCTCATGACTTTCTTGTTCACACAGATTTAAAGTCACAATTGGAACCCACGGAGCCATTGACAGTATATTTATTAAATATTGTTATTCTGAATAAAGATATTTTGACATCCAAATGCTTGCTTTTTATCTATATTATACTTCTTCTATGATAATAATTCGAGTAAAGGCTAAAAATAGTCCTCTGACTATAAATAAATGTCCAATTTAACCTCAGAATTTCGTATTGCCCTATTTTAGTCTCTCGACTATTAGAAAATGATTCAATTTATTCCTAGAGCTTAAAATAAGAGTTAAAGTTAATTCCAAAGTTAAATATAAAAATTGTTTTAGGTATTACAAAGAAATATGAGATTACATTATTCTATTTTATCATTTAATAAATTATAGTATATAGTTAATCTAACAAATAATAAGGGTGAATAAACAGTGAAAAAAATTAATATTTTTTAAAGCAAAATCTAACATTGCTCTTATTTATCATATTTTAATATAAAT